GTTGCTATAAGATTATTTCTCGATGTAAAGTTCTTTCTTACACATGTATGTCACTGGTTTTGTTTTCCTAGACAACCCAGCCTAACACAATGTCTTGTACTTCTCTATTGATATGTTCATCGTTAGGGTGGATCAGGTCAGTTCAGGCTGATAGCCACCCGATGTGCAACAATACAAAACACCGCCTGGTCCTGTGATAGCCTCACACACGCTGTCTGAACCTATTGTTGCAGTCACTGTGTCGATCCTTCTCCGGAAGAGATCTCTTCTTTTCACTGGCCCTCTGCCTTACCAAGGGTTCCAGGGATGGGTCCTTCTTCCCGATAGCTTGTCCAAAGGATGTGAGATAAAATCTCGCCATCCTCATTTCTAAGTAGTATTTTAGTTGGACAGATGTGTCCACTCTCTTGGCTGTCAATGGTATATTTGATATATATATATTTTTACCAATGCTGTAAGTTAAAGACATCAATTTGTTGGCTTTCCTTATCCATTATGCAGATTTTGTACACATCTGAGGCACCTGAAAATACCATGACTTGGGTCAGGCACATCTTAGTCTTCAAAGACAACTTTACCTTTTAACACTTTAGAGAAATCATTGGCAGCAGATTTGCCCAATGCAATACGTTGCTTGATTTCTTGAATGCTGCTTCCAGGGTTATTGATTGTGGAGTCAAATAAAATAAAATCCTTGACAACTTCCATCTTTTCTCCATTTGTCATGTTGCTGCTTATTGGCCTAGTTGTGATTTATTCCTAAGTATTTTATCCTTCTGGTGGCTATTATCAATGGCATTGTTTGGAGATCTCTTCGTTAGTGCAGAGAAGAATCACGCTGATTTTTGTATGTTGACCTTGTACAGTGCCCCTTTGCTGACCCCTTCATGGTGTGAGAATGGGCAGGCCGCTCCAGCACGAAGTCAGACCATCTCAAGGTCAGTCTGGTTCAGTGACTTTTGGGGAAAGGTTTAATGGCAGCACATTTCTTCTAATTGAAATATAATAATATTTAACTTTTTCCCTACAGTGGAACTTTGGGGCATCATCATTTGGGGTAGTTGACTCTTAACAGGTTTATGAGAATCACAGGCAATTAAATCTGTTTAAAGATTCATTTCCTTAGGGCAGTGTTCCTCAGAGAATGCTCCTAGATCGTTTGTAACAGAATCTCTTGAGGGGTTTGTTTAAGACCCCTGGCCCCTGCCCCGATCTTGGAAACTGCCAGGGGAATCACCCAGGAGCCCCTATATGACCAGGTAGCCCAAATGTTGAAGCTTCATAATATTCATATTCTGAGTATATGATTGGCCTGCCAGAGAGAAAACTCTATTGAAGATAAAAATCTTTTCACACATGCCCAGGTTGTTCTTGGGAAAGACTGTGGGCAGCGGCAGCTTTGAGCATCCTTGCTCCTGTGTGGGTTAGGAAATCTCACAGACCCGCACTGAGGACCTCCATGTGCTGCGAGGAGGGTAGAAGGATGAAGGGCCGAGTGTCCAGAGCAGACGGGTGTAACTTGCCAGACTGCTGTGTGGGATGTGGCATGGAGTGGGTTGTGCTCAGAGGCAGGATTTTGGTGGAGGGATAACCAGAGACCTGCAGGATGTGAAGAGAGTTCTCCACACTACTCCCAGTGCACCAGGGTGGCCCTGGCTAGCTACGTGTGCCTCCTAAATATGGGCTTAGTGCATTTATTAAGGTAGCTGGTGAACATTTAGCATTTTTTAAAGTGTAATCTTTTAACTGTATAGCTGGAAAACAATTTTGATGTAAAATCTAATAAAGAAAACAACTAAATTTAAAAAATTTAAAAACCGCTTGCAAACACTGCCATTGAGTCGATTTTGACCAATGGCCACCCTAGGGGACAGGGTAGAAGTGCCCTTGTGTGTTTCGGAGAGTAGAAAGCTTCCTCCTAGTGAGCCCGTAGGCCAGGGTAACACTGCTCCTGTAGGTTTTTGAGACTGTTAAACTCTTTACAGAAGTAAAAAGTCTCATGTGGTTAAAACTTGCTGCCTTTAGAAAGCAAATGTTTTGAGAATGATGAGGGCCACAAACGTACAAATGTACTTGACACAATGGATGGATGTATGGATTGTGATAAAAGTTGTATGAGCCCCCAGTAAAATGATTTAAAAAAAATTAAGTAGTTGCTTCTAAAAGTCAGGCCTGTTGGGGGCGGAAAGGAGGCGAAGGGTGCTATTTTTCCTCATGAGTCTTTGGTACAATTTAATTCCCTTTTCTAAGCCCCTATACCTGCCCTACTTTTATTTCGAAAAGCGTATTTAATATATTTAATAGCCTGGAAGAAAACTGTCTATAGTGCACCGTAAAGGGTGTTGCGCTAGCAACTGTGAAATCATCTTGCACCATTTCCTTTCAAAAGCAACCAACCGGACCCTGCAGCTCAGCAGGCCAAGCGGCCGCTCTGGTGGGCGGAGCCGACCAGGGGCGAGTGCGCATGCGCCGAGCCCACACCGCCCTTCTCCCGGAAGGACTCTGGCAGCCGCGCGAGTGGACACTGCGCTCTCCGAGTCCTGCCGCTCCTGTAGGGAGGAACCAGCATTTAATTCTGAGCAGTGCCGACAGTGGGGACCCTGCTAACTATCCCGCCGGGAGGACCGTGGATGAGCCAATAGATATTGAAGACGGGGCGCGTGCCCGTGACCCCGGAGAGGGACCAAACCCGCTGCAGACCGTGGACAGTTTCCCACGGAATGATGTTGAGCTTGCCCATCGGCAGATCCACGGGCACGCTCAGTGAATTAAATTTCTGGGATGCGCGGTGCCTCGTCAAGCATTCAGGGTTAATGAATGAATTGTACTCTAAATCGTTTGGTCTAGCACCATTCCTGAATTGCTTGTCTAAGACTACCCCTCTCACGTGATGACCTTGGGAATTCTACCAGACAGGTGTGCATAAAGGCGCCCTGGTGATGCAGTGGGTTAAGCATTGGGCTACTATCAAAGGTCAGTGGCTCGAACCCACTTGGACTTCTACAATTATAAGCCGCTATGAGTCAGAAATGGGTTTGGGTTTGGGCATGCTCTCTGGTAGCGCATGAGTTTCCACTTGGGCTGCAGTTCGCAGCCACTGATTGCCCTGGGGGAGAAAGATGAGACTTTCCACACCTGTAAAGATTTATAGTCTTGGAAACCCATTTCTACACTGTCCTGTAGGGCCACTATGAATTGGAAATGACTCTTTGGCAGTGCGTTTGTTTGGCACAGAGCCTCCTAAACTGTGTCCTCTGTCCTGCGTTCTTTCTTTCCAGAGAGGCTCTTCTGCCAAAGCATAAACCAAACACGAACGATGTCAAGTGGAAGAATGACCAGCAGTACCAAGAAGGGCAGAAAAGAAAAGAAGAATATTAGAAATGTTACAAAATTATTTTGAGACATTTCCAATACCGGTGTGTTCTTTTCCTTTCTCACTGGAGAAAATAATTTTCTTATGGCCTTCATTGTAAGAGATGGTTTAGCAAGAATGAGGCTTGATCAAAGTAAACTGCCAAAATAAAATGCCGGAGACCTCAACTTTGGAAATGAGATGTAAAGAATTTTTGCTTTTCCAAACTGGAAGGATTCTGCAAATCTTTAAAATGTCCATGCTGTGATCTCTTTGTGTCACAGCAAATAAAAAGTGGGTTCTTGGTAAAAGGTGAATTCTAAAGTGTCTTGAAAGCATAGCAAACTCCAAACATCGAACTATGATCATGAAACTTAGATTCAAGGTTTATCTGAAACTTGGCTGAATGCAATTGCTCTGTCTCTTGAGTTTATATACAGGTCAGTCTTGTGTGGTAAGTGAAAATTCACTGGCATATTCCTAAACGGGAGAAAAGAAATCTGGCCTTTTGTTTTTCCCCCTTTGTTGAGGAGACTTACCCCCAAAGGAAAACAGCTCAACAAAGATGCAGAGTCCAGTGGAGAAACTTGAAAGGGAACCTTGGCCGCTGGGAGATACGGGAAACCATGCCCCCTGGGAAACCATGATGTGAGCATGCCATCGGATGATGTTCATCCATCTCGTCACCATTCTGAACTGCCCTGGGAGGCTTTGAAGAAAATCTTAGTGATCCAAAAAAACTAAGCTTACCGCCACTGACTCCATTCTGACTCACAGTGACCCTGTAGGACAGAGTAGAGCTGCCCCTTTGAGTTTCTGAGACTTTAAAACCTTGACACGAGTAGACCACCAGTGTTTTCCTGTGGGGTCGAATGCATAGCCCACTACACCATCAGACTCCTCCTCATCTTGTCTTAGGGATCAAACCTTCCCTCAACGATACCAACCGAATTTGGGAGACAGGGAAATCCCTTTCTTTGCAAAAGCTTAAGCAGGGGCTAGATATTCACATACTGGAGTTACCAAGGATGCAAACCTCCAGCATCCCGGTTGTGAGTCTGGTTCCTTTGAACTGGTCACTGTCTTTCTTGTGTATATGTGGTCAAAACCGCCAAGTATAGAGAAGGAGACTTATCTGTAAAGTCTACTTCGAGTCAAGTATTGTGTTTTGCACTTTCATATAGCTCATATCGTTTTCACTGTACACTTTCTAGATAGGCCTTCGAAGTGCAGATAACAGGAAGCACAACCGAGACCATATTATCTCATCTTATCTCAAGATGAGTGCTCCCCAGTATAGGGAATCCCCTGCACCGCTCAGTGGGTCTTCCAGGCCCTGTCATTCCAGTTGCTCCCTCTCCCCACAGCCTGATTATCAGGCTACAACAGAGGCTCGGGGCAAGGAAACACCTAGGAGGAGGCAGGCATTTTGGTCTGACTCTTCACAAAGCCTCCAGAGTCCAGAGTGTAGCTCATACACAGATTCTCTGTGAATGAGGCCAAGCCGCTCCTAAAACGAACAGGCCCGGTGGGATGGGGCTCTGTGGAGACACACTAGCCATCGGTTAGGCGAACTCAGGCCTGGCACAAGCAGGTCTTCAGGGTATACATGAGTCTAAAGGGACAAAAAAGGACAAGAGGTCCAATGTCCTTTTGGTAGAGCTTTATTTCTACAATGCAAGAGTGGTCTGGAACTTCTAATCTTCAGAACAAACTCGGCACGTCCAGGCCTGACCACAAGATCCGAAGCCTGAGCTCTGCTTTGAGCCCCGCCGCGGACCAGCCCAGTTCCGGGTTCTTCACTTTCCCGGAGCAGCCTTTCCGCAGTGCTCGCGCCTGCTACGGCAATGACTGCCGCTCCCCGCCCGACAAAGGCCTGCCCTTGGGCTCTGTGCTGATGGCTCTAGAAGGTGCCAAGCCTCAGAGGTCAAGTCCACTGGCTTGTGGAGCCGCTGTGGGCCTGGGATCTGAGCATCTCCACGTGGTCTCTGCTCCTTCCAGGTTCACATCTTCAGGGTCCCACTGTGGAGAAAAAACACAGGCGGTACCCTCCCGGAGTCAGCCCTTCCCATCTCTTACAATCCCCAGACGCAGGGACAAACAGGTCAGGCTGGGTTGGCCAGACCTACATTTCTAGGGCACAAGCGGAGGCCCGGGTTCTAGGTCACGTTCTGCGATGATGCTGAGCAACTCCCCACCCCGACCCCAGGGAGCACTCAGCTGCTCTGTGGAAAGGCTGCCCCCTGGGGCCCACTGAGGTCCTCCTGGGGTGGAGACCCACGGCTTGGTTGGCGTCTTCACAGGCTGCCTGGGGATTCTTTGTTGTTGTTCTCTGCTGGGGAGCCGGCTCCGCTTCGTGGGACCACAGACGTCACAAAATGAAACGCTGCTGCCAGTGCGCTGTGCTCCAGATCCGGCAATTCTTTGAGCCCTGACGTTGGGACCCCGCTCTCACCTCCCCAGAGGGCTGTCTCGGGGTGTTCAGTCTAACTCCAGCCAACCTGCTGCCCAAACCAAGAGGACCATTTGACGTGGTGGAATCCTCACACGACATTTTCATGCCTTTTGTTCAGAACGTCTTAAAACTTGCAATGACCCTGGAAGCACATTGCTGGAATCCAAGAAAGATGATCCACTCTTTGGTCAGAAACAGTGCTGAGAGACCCCCAGACACAGGTGGCTGTCCTAACACACATTCATCTGTCACCAGGAGGCAATGGTGGCATGGTATGGCAGCAGTGGCTGACCAAGGTCTCAGAATGACATTGTCTGGGCATGTTGATTTCAACAACCCCTGCGGCTACTCTCAGCACCACGACCATCGATTCACTAACAGGCAGTTATTTCATTTGTTCCAAATCCGGTTTCTTCATTGAGTCTTCTCTGAGCCTCCTTTTATGATGTGGCTTATTGTAATGCCCTCAAAGCGAAAGCACTGTGACTGCAGGGCCCTGAAAATCTGCTATCTTCTGACGTGCCTCTCATGTTTACATTCTCCACCCCGCTGCCCACCCGCTCCCGGCCATCCAGGGGGGTGTCTTATAAACCCAAACTGAGTCTCCCTCTTCCTCTGTTGCTCCAGGCAAATAGAGATGGTCTCTTGACCGCAGGTACTAGACAGCAAACGGGAGGTCGGACAGAAGCAATAAACATGTTACTGTGCCCGTTAGCTGGGAGGTCTCGTGAAACCCGGACCCAAAACCTCCAAACCAAAGAATTAAGCCCCATGAGGTAGCTGCTTCTGGATAAGCAGCCTCAGCGTCTTTTTTTTTTTTTTTTTTTAAATCATTGTTGTTAAAATACCTACCACAACTTTCTCCAGTGTACAGCTTATTGGCAGCAATTCCATTCATCAGCTGTGCAAGATTACCTTACCTTCACCAGCAGCATGGTCAATGAGAGTAAGAGGGGGAAACCGAATGTGTGACTAACTGGCTGCCTCTAAGGACCACTGTCCCCTTTGATGTGAGACCAGATGAACTGAAGGGTGCCCGGCTTCCATCACTGAACATTTCGATCAAAGGTTCTATAGGAGAGTCCTGATCAGAGGTGGGGGTGGGGGAATTCAGAACAGAATTTTAAATTCTCATGGAATCTAGACTTTCTGGAGCAATGAGACTGGATGACCTCTCCCCACCCCCATTATTGCCCTAAAATAGTCTTTAAATACCAAGTCCTCTTAAAATCAAACAGGAGTTTAGCTTAACTTGGAAAGAATGTCTGCCTTAAGCATGGTGATCTCTCAAGGTCAATATGGGATCAAAGAAGCTCCCTCCTGGGAGTAGTGGATTTATGTAAATGGAGTGGCACAATGGAGAAAAGGAATGGGAGGGTGGCCGTACAACTCGCCTGATGTGATCAGTGTCGATGAATTGTACATGTAGAAACTGTTGAAGCAGGTAAACGTTCTGGTGTGTATACTCTCAACAACAACAAAACATTAAATGCTTCAAAAAGGGAAAGGACAAATGCAACCTGAAACCAATGTTCCAAAAGGTAAAACAGTCCAGTCATCTCCAAAGATCTCTATTGCTTCTCCAGGTCTTGAAGGCTTGGCAAAAGATTGGAAACAAACAAACAGGAGGTGAAATCAAGCCACAGGAAATCTCTCCCGAAACAGAGTATGATTGTCCATACCTGCTCTGAGTTTAGGGCCTCCCAATACTTTTGCTGCAGAATAAAAAGAGATGGAAAACGTGTTGGCTATGTTTTGCCACCATCACACAACAGAACAGAGCTCAGTGCCAGCCAGGAAGCCAGGGGACAGGCCCCCAATGGTGCCAGGGAGCTAAGCAACAGCTGGCTTCAGCAAGCAAGCAAGCAGGCAGGCAGGCAGGCAGCAGCTGCTATAGGTCTCAATGTCAGCAGATGATCAAGGAGATAATTATAATGATGAGGAAGGGTTGTAGGTCCTTCCTTGGGAAAATGACAATCTACAGAGATTTAAAAGTAATTAATAGAAATTATTATGAGAAGTATTATTAATGAAATGACATCTCCCAAAGTGTGTGTTGTAAATATGTAGTTCTCTGCCTGTGGTCCTCATCCCATTTGGAAGTGGATTGTCTATGTTATGTGGGTGAGGCAGGATTAGTGTAGGATATGTCTTGAGTCAATACCTTTTAAGATCAAACAAACAAACGAAACTCACTCCGGCAAGTCAGTAGCAACTCATCATGAGCCTGCAGGACAGGGTAGAACGGCCTGTGGGTTTCCAAGACTGTAACTCTTTACGGGAGTAGAAAGCCTCCTCTTTCTCCCATAGAGTGGCTGGTGGTTTCGAACTGCTGACCTTGCAGTTAGCAGCCCAACATGTAACTATTATGCCAACAAGCAAGCCAAAGAATTGGGGAAGAGAGATGGCAAGCCACATGAAGATTGCCCAGGAGCAAAAGCTCAGAGACAAGGACCTCAGAGCCAACAGGGACAGAACGTCTTCTCCTAGAGTCGGTACTCTGAAATTGCACGTCCAGTTCCTATACTGTGTGATAATATATTTCTGTTGGTTAAAGCTACCCACTTGTGGTAGTTCTGTTACAGCAGCAATTGACAACTAAGAGAAAGCATAATATCAGCTCTCTTATTTAGTAACCACGTGGCTGACATGATTCAACTCAAACTATAAAATAAGATACAAATAAACTTCTCACCTTGCTAATATGGGGAATTTGCTATCAGTCAAGATGCATGTTGAAACAGCATCTTACTGCACAGTTGGTCCCACCCTAAATCTCAAATATATCTGACTCAGGTTCTTTTTAATCATTTTATTGGGGGCTCGTACAACTCATCACAATCCATCCACACATCCATTGTGTCAAGCACATTTGTACATTTGTTGCCATCATCATTC